GCGCTACTAGTGCGAGGGCCCGCCCAACGCTGCTTGCAGCTTTAATTTTTTTTTTTTTTTTTTTTTTCTGCAAAGTAGGCTCAACTGACATGGCCTAAACATTCTCGAAAACTCACCAAAATTTGCAAACATGTCAGAACCGGTGAAAAATTTCGTATTCTACAAGTTTCGCACATGGGCGTTGCAAAATGACTCGCTAGCGCCACCTAGAAAATTGGAAAAAATTAGCCCCTCGTTCACGTTCAACCTACATGTACGAAATTTTCTGGGGACATGTATCATATCAAGACGCACAAAAAAGCCTCAAGAACCCATAGCCTAAAGTCAACAGGAAGTCGGCCATTTTGAATTTTACGGCCATTTTTGGATGATTTACACACTTCGTACTTTAACGAACTCCTCCTAGGGATTTAGTCGGATCGACGTCAAATTTGTGCTGTGCCTTCTAAAGGCATTGACGATGAAAAGTTGTGCTATTTGCGCGTTTTCGTCAATGGGCGTGTCCGTGGCGTCGATGATTCGCAATGAAACAGGAAGTTGTTGTAACTTCAGTGTACATGCTCACATCTGGACCAAACTGTACATCTAGGATGAGAGTCCCGCCCTGAACACATGTACATGCCGACATTCACCCACAGTCATAGCGCCACCTGCTGGCAATAGAAAGTGACTTTAACGAAGCAGCCCCCGCCGCACGTTTCACCTACGTGCACGAATTTTCTGTGGTACGTGTATCTTGTCCAGACGCACAAAAAAGCCTCTTGGAGCAATGCCTAAAATAACAGGAAGTCGGCCATTTTGAATTTTACGTCAAATTTTGGATGATTTACACACTTCGTACTTTAACGAACTCCTCCTAGGGATTTAGTCCGACCGACCTCAAATTTCTGCTGTGCCTTCTAAAGGCATTGAAGATGAAAAGTTGTGCTATTTGCAAGTTTTCGTCAATGGGCGTGTCCGTGGCGTGGCGTCAAAGATCAACTCTTCGCCATGACACGGAAGTTGTCGTACTTCAGTGTACATGCTCACATCTGGACCAAACTGTACATGTAGGATGAGAGTCCCGCCCTGAACACATGTACATGCTGAATTCACCCACAGTCATAGCGCCACCTGCTGGCAACAGGAAGTGACTTTTAACGAAGCAGCCCCCGCCGCACGTTTCACCTACGTGCACGAATTTTCTGTGGTACGTGTATCTTGTCCAGACGCACAAAAAAGCCTCTTGGAGCGATGCCCTAAAATCAACAGGAAGTCGGCCATTTTGAATTTTACGTCAAATTTTGGATGATTTACACACTTCGTACTTTAACGAACTCCTCCTAGGGATTTAGTCCGACCGACTTCAAATTTGTGCTGTGCCTTCTAAAGGCATTGAAGATGAAAAGTTGTGCTATTTGCGAGTTTTCGTCAATGGGTGTGTCCGTGGCGTGGCGTCAAAGATCAAGTCTTTGCCATGACACAGGAAGTTGTTGTAACTTCAGTGTACATGCTCACATCTGAACCAAACTTTACGTGCTTGATAACTCAAGGGGTCATCTTCTCTACTATTGGTGGACCAGTCAGACAAGAGAGCTCCTACTCTGCCTGCAGACATCAACAATCTTGCCCCTCACACAGTCAGATGGCTTCCTTCAGTGCACTGAGGTGTTTAACAACTCTGAAGACACTACCAGAAATGTATTCCTTCTCTTTTCTTGTAGACGCTCCGACAGACAGTGCTTTCAGTTTGCTGCATGCATGGACACAGAACTGCGGTACAGCACACAGTAACGATGAAATGTGTGCTGTTCTCACATTCTTCCTCTGTATGTACACATAAACAACAAGGCAGGGAAATATAAAAGGAATTTATTTTATTGTTTGGGTACATTATTGTTCAGTGTACATGCTCACATCTGAAACAAACTTTACGTGCTTGATAACTGTCCCACCCCGCAGACATCTACACACCAATACCGATTTATATTCATAGTGGGAAGTGCTATGTAGCTCCACATAGGGGACACAGGAAGTGACATATAACACCTTCATGCGGCGTCGGAACTGCGTAGGAAATTCACAGCCGCACCGGCAGAGCTCCAGAATATGCAACTCGGCCGGCTCACACGCGGACGCGCTACAAGTGCGAGGGCCCGCCCAACGCTGCTTGCAGCTTTAATTTACTTTATTTTTTTGTGTATTTAATTGGATGCTTATTTATTTATTGAGCATTTATTTATTTCTGTATTTATTTCTGACTGTGTCAGGATCAGTCCTCCATAGCGGGGTGGTAGAGTTATCAAGCACGTAAAGTTTGGTTCAGATGTGAGCATGTACACTGAAGTTACAACAACTTCCTGTTTCATAGCGAATCATCGACGCCACGGACACGCCCATTGACGAAAACTCGCAAATAGCACAACTTTTCATCGTCAATGCCTTTAGAAGGCACAGCAGAAATTTGACGTCGATCCGACTAAATCCCTAGGAGGAGTTCGTTAAAGTACGAAGTGTGTAAATCATCCAAAAATGGCCATAAAATTCAAAATGGCCGACTTCCTGTTGACTTTAGGCTATGGGTTCTTGAGGCTTTTTTGTGCGTCTTGACATGATACATGTCCCCAGAAAATTTCGTAGATGTAGGTTGAACGTGAACGAGGGGCTAATTTTTTCCAATTTTCTAGGTGGCGCTAGCGAGTCATTTTGCAACGCCCATGTGCGAAACTTGTAGAATACGAAATTTTTCACCGGTTCTGACATGTTTGCAAATTTTGGTGAGTTTTCGAGTATGTTTAGGCCATGTCATTTGGGCCTACTTTGCAGAAAAAAAAAAAAAAAAAAATATATATATATATCCGAGCAAATTCAATAGGGACCTCGCACGGTCGTGCTCGGGCCCTAATAATCCGAGCAAATTCAATAGGGACCTCGCACGGTCGTGCTCGGGCCCTAATAATCTGAGCAAATTCAATAGGGACCTCGCACGGTCGTGCTCGGGCCCTAAATATAATCTTAGCAAATTCAATAGGGACCTTGCACGGTCGTGCTCGGGCCCTAAATATGAATTTCTTGCTAAACGTTTCCCTGCACTGATTAAATGTTGATGAAATGTAGGCTAACACTAGTCTATAGCTAGCTAGCTTATTTCACTGTGGACATTAAGCCAACAGGTTAACACCACTCACAGACACTTTCTTGGTGAAAAACTGTGTTATACATTAACATCCTTTCCTTTGTCTTTCCTCTCTCTCTTTTCTCTCATTCCTTTTTTGAAGACCAGATTTTGGTTTACTAGGCAACATTGTGATCACTGTATTTCTGGTGCATCTGACTGCAACCAGAGCCCGACTGCAACTAAACCGTCACTGGGTGCTTCCCAAGTCTCTTATTTGTCGTTTCCTTGCGCCTCGATCCTCGCTTGAACCGGAAGTTTTTCCGCTCCGCCATCTTGCAGGCCGTTCCCAAAGCTCTTTTTTGCGCTCTGAGGAGCGAGGATCGAGGAGCGATCTCTGAGGAGCTATGAGCGAGGATACACCAGTGCATCCTTCGCAGAAGTCTTTTACTGACCAACGCGCCCCCATACTGTGTAGCCGTTATATTGATTGGACGCTGCAGCTGATTGGACTGATACATCAGGACAGATAACATTGAACTCAAGTGCATTACTGGAAAGTGTTAGGCTATATTTGATTTTTTTTATGATTCACTGTCTACTTAAAATCTGAGTTCATTGTAGGTCGGAACAACAAAATCCCCACACGCAACTTTATTTATTTATTAGAAAGAGTTTTCTTTCTTTTATTTCTCCCATCAACTTTTATTATGGAGACAATTAAAGTCAAAGGGAGTCGGGAGTCTGTCAGCAAGAAACACGTTTTACATCATTCATCGTCATTTCTATTCAGTCACGTGAGGCTGTTCATTCCTGTGTTTAGTCCAAATAGACGACGATAAAACATAGTACACTGAGGAGTAGGACAAGTCACTAAACTGCGGATTGATATAATGGAACGCAGCGATCGATCGATGACAAGTGATGTGACTTGCAAATAAAATGTATCCAGTAGTGTTAAAGGATATCACAAGAAGAAATAAACGGAAAGCCTGAAACTGAGCGTCAACTTTGATAGCCTACAAGTTAGGCCTACATCATTTCAATTTCCCGACACCATGATCATATTCTGGGTTATTCAATAACAAATTTACAATCAGAATATAAATGCAGATAATATCAGCATTGTGCCAGTAGAAATGATCCTGTTCCTCTGAGCAGGACATACACTAATGTGTAATGTGTAGGACATACACTAATGTCCTGCTCATGTCATACACTAGGCCTACTGTATGTCCTGCTTGTGTTTGTTAACCAGGTAACAGAGAATCATGCTGCTCTGCACTGATAACTGTGAGACTTTATTAGTACCAACACAGTGCACATGTATGTAGACACAAACTCCATCAAAAGTCTCTCAAGCTGTTAGAGCCTACTGACAGCTGATCAGGTGCCGCCGTCATCAGAAACAGACGTCGCTTTATGTGACGCTTCGGAGGAAAGGACGTCTCATGTCTCTAAAAACACGAGACATTCCTTCTCTCCTGGCTTGGTTTCTCTCCGTGCATCCCAGGTGGGCGGGACTAAGACGTAAGGAAAACATGCAAGTGAGGGAAACGATGGTGAAAATGATGATGGTGGTTTATATAATTTGATATTAGTTTTTACCTATTTTTTGGCAAGTCCCCCTGTCCTAACTCCCCCCCCCCCCCCCTATACTGCATCCCTGCAGCTTAGCATCCAAAGTTAGGAGAGTTTATTTAAGATTTTACAAAGTTAGGATGCTTCTGTAATACACTTTTCTTATCTAAAGTTAGGAAAGGAACATTGACTTAGGAACTGTTAATCTCTAATGGCCTTTTTCCTAAATCAGTTCCTAACCCTTATTACCATGGTTACCAAGCAGTTAGGATAGGATCTGCCTGTTAGGAAGTTTCTGTAATACAGCCCCAGATTACTAAATGAATGAATACTATCAGAAGTGGTTTATTAATGTCACAAACGTGTACAAACATAAACATGTCATCACCTTGTTTGCACTTTCACATACTAGGAGACAAAGTACAATTTTTGTGAGCTTGCCAACCACAATTTTTTGTTAACATTTTGTATATCTTGAATAATTTCCAGCTATAACAAACTACAAAGAAATGACACAAATTCAGAAGGAAAAACAACACATAACAAGAAACAGGAAACCACCTTCTAGCATGTAAACATCAATTGAAAAAATGTCACATTATTTACTGCAGGTCTGTGTAGTAGGGTGGCGAAATGGGCACGAACTGGACTTGTTTTTGTCTTGTTCTTTTGTTCTCGCAAACAAGTGGTCATTTTGCTAAATTAAAGCTGCATGCAGAGCAGGAAACTGAGAAAACGGAGTTTGATGCTCTGCTTACTTCAGAAAATCTGGTGTCTGTTGCTCTAAAAAGCTTAGAAGGTGCACTTGAGTTGTTTCAAACTGTTTAGCTTTTGTACAAAGAAATATATTGTTAACTAGTAGTTACTTCTAATTGGCTCTAAATTTAAACTTCTAACATTAAACTCTGACACAGTTTCATGGGGATTTTTGGAAATTACAAGCACAGAAGTAACAACAACATTGAAATAAAAAATAAATATGTAGACTTCTTTATTTTTACAGTGAGGAATCTGTAAAATGAGATTTACAAAAATGTCTTGTCTCCTCTTCTGTCCCCCCTTACGACTCGTTGTTGGGTCGAATCCAGCTGGCAGGGACCCACTGCGGCTCGTCTTGCGCCTTCCTCACTGCCGCCAGCAGCTGGACGCAGGAGGACTGCAGCTCGTCATTGACGATTACGTGGTCAAAGAACTGCCAGTAGTGGGTCTCAATCTTCCGGGCGGCTTCTTCCATTTCCTGGTAGTCTTCATCCTGTTGCAGGAAACAAAAGTCAGAACTGATTCCAGGTTCAATTACACTCAAAGGTCTTTACCTTGGTGTTGTGGGAAAAAAATTGATCAAAACCAAATAAATAAATACCATTATTAGGGCCCGAGCACGACCGTGTGAGGTCCCTATTGAATTTGCTAAGATTATTAGGGCCCGAGCACGACCGTGCGAGGTCCCTATTGAATTTGCTAAGATTATATATATTTGGGCCCGAGCACGACCGTGCGAGGTCCCTATTGAATTGCTAAGATATATTATTTAGGGCCCGAGCACGACTGTGCGAGGTCCCTATTGAATTTGCTAGATATATATATATATATATATATATTATGATATATATATATATTTTTTTTTTTTTTTTTTTTTTTTTTTCTGCAAAGTAGGCTCAAATGACATGGCCTAAACATACTCGAAAACTCACCAAAATTTGCAAACATGTCAGAACCGTGAAAAATTTCGTATTCTACAAGTTTCGCACATGGGCGTGGCAAAATGACTCGCTAGCGCCACCTAGAAAATTGGAAAAGATTAGCCCCTCGTTCACGTTCAACCTACATGTACGAAATTTTCTGGGGACATGTATCGTATCAAGACGCACAAAAAAGCCTCAAGAACCCATAGCCTAAAGTCAACAGGAAGTCGGCCATTTTGAATTTTACGGCCATTTTGGATGATTTACACATTCGTACTTTAACGAACTCCTCCTAGGGATTTAGTCGACGTCAAATTTCTGCTGTGCCTTCTAAAGGCATTGAAGATGAAAAGTTGTGCTATTTGCAAGTTTTCGTCAATGGGCGTGTCGTGGCGTGGCGTCAAAGATCAACTCTTCGCCATGACACGGAAGTTGTGTAACTTCAGTGTACATGCTCACATCTGCACCAAACTGTACATGTAGGATGAGAGTCCCGCCTGAACACATGTACATGCGACATTCACCACAGTCATAGCGCCACCTGCTGGCAACAGAAGTGACCTTTAACGAAGCAGCCCCCGCCGCACGTTTCACCTACGTGCACGAATTTTCTGTGGTACGTGTATCTTGTCCAGACGCACAAAAAAGCTCTTGGAGCGATGCCCTAAAACCAACAGGAAGTCGGCCATTTTGAATTTACGTCAAATTTTGGATGATTTACACACTTCGTACTTTAACGAACTCCTCCTAGGGATTTAGTCCGACCGACTTCAAATTGTGCTGTGCCTTCTAAAGGCATTGAAGATGAAAAGTTGTGCTATTTGCGAGTTTTCGTCAATGGGTGTGTCCGTGGCGTGGCGTCAGAGATCAAGTCTTCGCCATGACACAGGAAGTTGTTGTAACTTCAGTGTACATGCTCACATCTGAACCAAACTTTACGTGCTTGATAACTCTCCCACCCCGTTATGGAGGACCGATCCTGACACAGCCAGAAATAAATACAGAAATAAATAAATGCTCAATAAATAAATAAGCACAATTAAATACACAAAAAAATAAAGTAAATAAAAAATGTAGGTAGTAATTAAATTATACAAGGAGACATAAATGTTTATATTTTAATTAGTGCCTTTACTATTCACCTTGTTATAATTACCTTATTGTTTATTCAACTTTATTTATACTAATTTTTTTAATGTATTTATTTATGTGTGTTTTAATATTTTGTCTGTTTTTATCTTCCTTTGTATTTATTACCTTATTTATTTTCACCCATGGTATTTATTTCTGCCTGTCTTTTTTAAATTTTGTATGCATTTCTGCCTCATTATGCAAATGAGGAGGGGCTGTGTCTCAAGGGGTCATCTTCTCTGCTATTGGTGGACCAGTCAGACAGGAGAGCTCCTCTCTGCCTGCAGACATCAACGATCTTGCCCCTCACACAGTCAGATGGCTTCCTTCAGTGCTGAGGTGTTTAACAACTCTGAAGACATACTACCAGCAATGTCTCCTTCTCTTTTCACGTAGACGCTCCGACAGACAGTGCTTTCAGTTTGCTGCATGCATGGACAAGAACTGCGGTATAGGGGAGAAGCACACGGTCAGCTGGCTGCAGCTAAATCTGGAGTGCACTCGTATTCAATTCTGTATGGTAAATTCAGTTTTAACGGAGCAGAGCGAGCTGACAGCAGAGTTAGAGATTTTCTGTCCGTTTCTCTCTTTACAAAGACGCATGTCAGAGCTAGGGCAATGAAGTCTCAGTAGTACCGATGCGAGCACCACATACAACACAATTTATCAAATTACACAAACGGATATACAGTATGAAAATAAGACCGATTGGATTATACTCACAGGA